CTTTCAGGTTCGCCCGCCTGGTTAAGCCCGCCGTCCCCCGCAAAAAGAAATAAACACCATAGAAGGGGGCGTGATCGAAGACAAGAAGGGCGGGTACCGAAGGTGTGGGGAACTCGCTTGAGTGGCACACGGGCAAGTAAGAGCGAACAGTCTTTAAATGATTGTTGTTGTTGTTGCTGTTGTTGCTGTTGTTGTTGTTGTCGTTGTTGTTGTTGTTGAACTCTCACTTCGGGAAAATAATTATTGCTGACCCCCTATCACTGGCGCGTGCTGTTTTTCTAAATCAAAGTGTGCCCGTCGACGTTCGCACCGTGTTTTTTACAGGGAAAGTCTTCCTGCTCAAACTGGGCCCCTGGCCCCCCGGATTACAACAACAACGGCTCCCGCTTGAGATTTTCGTCAAATTTACTCAGGACCCCCGCTCCTGAGACTTCCTCACAATTTACTCAGGATCGGTGCTCCCGCTTGTTTAGTCGGGACCCCTGTTCCCATCTGAGACTTCCTTACAATTTACTCAGGAACGGCGCTCCCGCTTGAGACCCCCTCGCAATTGAGCCAAGACTTCCTCGCAATTTAATCAAGACCCCCGCTCCCGCCAGAGAGCCCCTCACATTTTATTCAGGAGTTGCGCTCTCGCCTGTGACTTCCGTGCGATTTATTCAGAAATCGCGCTTTCGACAGTCAGGAAACACGCTGCGCCAAGGACGCTGTCACAATTTCCCTCGCCATACTCATGCATCCCGCTTGAATGTCCCACCCGCCCGACCCGCCCGTCAGGGGATCGCCCGCCCGTCGTGGGCTCCCGCCCGGGACTTCCTTCAGGAACGGCGCTTTCGCTTAGGACTTCCTTGAACGTTCACGCTCTTACCTTCCTGCTCCTCCTCCCTCTCCCTCCTCCCTCCTCTCCTCCCTTCTCCCTCCTTCCTCTCTTCCCTCATCCTTATGCCTCTCTGCCCTATCCCATCTCCCTCCTCTCCCTCCTCCCTTCTCCCTCTCCTCTCCTGCATCCCTCCCTCTTTTTTTTTTTTCTCTCTCTCTCTCTCTCTTTTCTCTCTCTCTCTCTCTCTCGCTCTCTCTCCCCTCTATCTCTCTCTCTCTCTCTTTCTCTCTTTCTCTCTCTCTCTCTCTCTCTCTCTCTACCTCTCTTTGCAGTGTTCCACGCGAGTTTGTATAGCACCCTCTTGTAAGCCGTCCACCGTACGTGGCTACCTCTGCTCAAGCCTTTTTCGTGCGCGAGCCCCCTTCGGCACCTCGCGAACGCATCAGGTGCTGGTGCACGGTTGTGGCGCAGGTCGCGCACGCTGCCATCATCGGGGCGGCCAACCTCGCCGGTGCTTGGCTGGGCCGCTGCCCCGCCTGCCCGCCTCAGCCGGGCTGCCCTGCGCCGGTGCTCAGCTGCCCGCCAGTGACCCTCACTTGCCCAGCGCCGCCGGCACTGAGCTGCCCGCAGGTCACCTGCGCGGCGCCCTCGTGCCCGGCGTGCGAGGCGCGAGGAAGTGCCGCCCGGCCCCACGCTTGCCCGCGAGGAGGCGGGCTCGACCGGCAGCGCCGAGGGCGCTTGCCTGCCATACTGGGCCGCGGGGCTCGTGGCGGTGATCTGCTGGAGCTGCGGGGCGTGCTCCGCGGTGTGCGTGACTCAGGCTTGCCCCGACGTGCTCAACATGCTGGCCGTGGCGTCATCGTCCGACCTGTTGCCGGGGGACGTGATCCTAGTCCGGTACGCCGAGGACGATATTTGGCATGAGCGTGTCTTGTGCTGGCCATTACCCATGGACAAGTCAGGAGTGGTGGACTGGGTGGTGGCAACACCCGATGGCGACATGTATATCGAGACCATCGAGGGAGGCAATCCAGAGGAGAGCCCGGTGGAGTGGATCCGCCCGGCTGCTGATGGGCGCCTCCCGGCCGCGTTCCAGGACCCCGTGCGCGCGTTCCCGCGAGCGGACGTCGTGGACGACTTCATCGCGAAGTGCGTGAAGAAGGGCACCACCCTGGCGCTGAAGGACTCGAAGGAACACGACGAGACACCGATTTCCTGCTCCGTCGTGCGGCTGGCGAACGGGCGACGGGTTGCGATCGATGACTTGGTTGGCAAGACGTTCGTGCAGCCAGCGCTCCGCGACTCCGGCGCCGATGGCAGCGGCGGCGGCAAGGGCAGCAAGGGCGACTCCGACGGCATGATCGTGACGGGAACGGTGACTCCTGGCACAGGCGTCTGGCGGGTGGTCGAGGAGGGCAATTCCTTTGGCTACGAGGTCGGCCGCGAGGTGAAGCCCGTGACGGTGTTCGTAGGCTCGAAGGGCGTGTACTCGCCGGACGGGAAGGACGCGGCGCTCGTCGATTTCAGCGACGAGGACCAGGCGGACTTCGTCCAGCGCGTGACGCCGCGGCCGAAGGTGGACCCCGCGCCCGTGCAAGACGCGCGGGCGCTGTCCATCAAGTTCAGCCCGCAGGGCCGCATGCGGGATTGGCGAGACGTGGTTGACAGCTGCCAGCAGGAGGACTTCGCTGACTTTCCCGCCGCCCGCCCCAGGAGCATGAGCTGGCGCCTGCAGTTCCTGCGTCGCCGACACACGCCCCTGGATCATCACTTGATGTTCCGCAGCACCTGCTCCTTGAAGCCAGAGCAGCGGGGAGTGGCCGAGCACGATGCTCTGCTACGCATCATCGAGCTCGCTGGGCAGTATGACCAATTGGACGTCACCTACCTGGCGCGCATGGAAGCAGCAGCGCGGCGAGTTCAGACCATCGAGTGGGCGTGCCACGACAAGATCAGGGAGACCGACGCGGGCTCCAACTCTCGGCTGTCGATCGAGCAGGCCACGGCGCTCTCGGGTCTCAGTCGCGCGGGGGACCTGACGATGGCGGCGCCGGCGCTCTTGGACCATGTGAAGCTGCAGGTCGAGAAGGACGCGGCCATCATGAAGAATATCAGGAAGGCGAAGGAGGAGAGGGAGCTGCGTCGACAAAAATAAGGACAACAAGGAAAAGGGGCGAGAGGCCCTGGGGAGGAGGGAAGTCTGCCGAGCCCTCCTGCCCCGACCGTCCCGCGGGGACGCCGAACCAGAACTTTGGCCTCAAGTTCTGGTTTGCCTGGCTTGCACCATTCACTACCTGGTGAAGGCGTAATTCACAGCTGCCCTCCTGGTCTTGGGCCCCCTGGGTCGGATATGCCTACCCGGCCGCCTCGCCCAGAGGCTCAGCGCCAGCGAGACGTTTTTCCTGTTCCTCATCTTGCCGGGGGCGACGTCAGGTCAGAATATTGTCCGGGTTCTGGCTTTCCAGGCGGCGACCGGTCCCGGGCCCCTTGTCGACGCGCGAGGCGTCGCGCCCTGAAGCGCCAGGCGGTCGCCGGTCTGTCGAACCAGGCGATCTCCACCCTCAATGCCTTGGCAGGCCGCGAGCGGGGGTCTTCCGCCGGTCAGCCCTGCCTTGGGCGCGCCTCGCAGGCGGCGGTGCAGCGACGTGCATATGCTGCCTCCGCGGCGATGGGCCCACCGCCATCTCTCGCGCCCTCGGGAGCCTTGCAGGAGCAACGGGGGCGCGCGGTGCACGAGGACACCAGTCCACCGTGGTGCCCTACGACGAGTTGAAGGCCCCCCTGCCAGCGAGCGGCAATCGCCTTGTGCCGTTCGCGGAACTTTTTGGGGCCGGTGGCCAAAGTGAAGTCGACGGGCTCATCGATGCTCATCTTCTCAAACAAGAAGCAGCCCCCCTCAACCTGAAGGGCGCCCGTCGGGGGACGCGCATGGACGAGGTGATGCGAAGCTCTCCCCACGAGTGCCAGCGGCTGATCAAGAGGTTTGAAAAGGCCGGGATGATCGACTACACCACCCAGCCGCTGGAGTTTTGTTCTCTGTTCGTCGTGGGGAAGAACAGCGGGGGCCAGTGGCTAGTTGTCGACTGCCGCCGGTCCAGCTGCCCGTTCACGCCGGCGGACCCCGTCGAGCTGAGCACTGGAGCTGCCCTGGGCAACCTCGAGGTGCCGGACGGGGCCGCCCTTTACGTGGGCCACGTGGACATCAAGGATGCCTTCTACCACTTCGAGCTGCCGGGGACGCTGCGCAACCTCTTTGCGCTCCCGGCCATGCCGGCCTGGATCGCTGGGCTCGCTGATGTGTGTGGCGCGAGAGTGAGCCCGGGCACCAGTGTGTATCCCCGGCTTCTCGTGCTGCCCATGGGCTGGTCACGTGCTCTATGGTTCTGCCAACCCCTGCATCGGCGTATCATTCAGGACATTCCGGGCCTCGAGGAGGCCTCCTTTCTGCGCGACCGAGGGCCAGCGCCTGCGACCACCCCTGCTTGCTACATCGAACTTTGTGGCGCTGGGCACGCGCCGTTCAACAGTCGAGCGACTCGTGGGACAGGTCGATGAAGCTCTGCAGTCCCGGGGCCTACCGACGCATGAGGTCGCCGCCAGCTCTCTGGAGGAGGAAGTCCTTGTGTGGGAGATCAATGGGAGGCTAGGCTTCATTCGACCTCGGCCGGAGCGCGCTTAGCGCATACGTTTGGCCCTCGACGGCTCGCTAGAGACCAGGAAGGTGTCCGCCCCGGACATCGAGAAAGTTGTGGGCCACTGCACCTTCCTCGCTCTCCACTGTCGCACGTCGCCCTCCATCTTCCGGACAGTCTACACCTTCATCGCTCGCCATCGCGATCGCGGGGCCGCTGCACTCTGGGAATATGTCCGTTGGGAGCTCGAGGCCTTCAGAAATATCATACCTCTAATTCGTCGTGATTTCGGGGCATCATGGAGTTCGAAGGTCATGGCATCGGATGCTTCGTTCTGGGGCTACAGCGTCGTCCCTCGAAGTCTTCCCCGTGAACAGGTTCAACAGCTAGGACGTGTAAGTGAACGATGGAGATTCTCGGGCAGAGCTCAGACTAGACCTCGCGAAGGGGTTCTGGGGCCTGACGGGGATCACGACGTCGTCGACTGGGTGGAGGAGGTGGAGGAGGACAAGCAGGAGAGGGAGGTTACCCGCTCGGATCTGCCGCAGGTCTTGAAGGAACCGGGGTGGGCGGTTCTCATGAGCAAGAAGCGGTCGATCCCCGTTGCCAGCATTGTCCACGGAGAGGCTCGGGGCCTCACAGCTGCTGTCAAACACGTGTGCCGCTCCATGAAGAATTTCGGTTGTCGTCGCCTGCTCATGCTTGACTCCTCCGCATGTGTGCTGGCTCTGTGCAAAGGACGGCCCTCGGCCGTCGGGGCGTGCGCAGCCCTCCGGTCCGTGGCCGCCCATGACCTTGCCACGGGCGCGGTCTTCGCGGGCCGCTGGTTTCCCAGAGAGTGGAACCGCGCCGACGGCCCGTCGCGGGGGCTGCGCCACTCTGGCTACGGAGGGGGAGACGCCGCTGCTGAGGAGGTCGCGCCCAACCGTGGCCGACGAGCGGGGCGCCAAACCAGAACTTTGGCTTCAAGTTCTGGTCGGCCCGGTGCTCCGCAGGCGGCGGCCGAGGGCGCCCTCCCCGCCGCGCGCGCCCTCGCAGGATCCGCGGGGCGCGGCGCAGGCCGGGCGCGGGGTCTCGCGGGATCCGCGGGGCCCGGCGAGGGATGCTCTGCTGCTCCGCAGTGCGGCGAGGCAGCTGAAGGCGGCGCGGCGAGCGCAGCGGCTGCCGATCCTGGCGCGAGAGCGCTATCTGCAGGCGAGGTCTGCGCGGACCGAGGCGGTGCGCCGGCGCTACTCGGAATTCCTCGAGGAGCTGGACCAGTGGCTGGAGGTCAACGGTCTGCTGCCCAGGCCGTGCCCGAGCGGCCGCCTGGCTGCTGGGACAGTGGGCCGCTTCGACCACGACGTGAGCGACTGGATGAACGAGCAGTACATGGAGGGCTTCGACCACTGGCGCGGGGCGAACGTGCTGGCGGCCATTGCCTGGGCGGACTCTCGCCTTGGCCGAGCGGGGAGCCACGGGCCCCCCCAGTCGCGGCAGGCGCTGAAAGGCTGGCGCAACTTGACGCCGGCAGCCAGCCGCCTGCCACTCTCAGTCGAGGTGGTGTTTGCCATTGCGATGGAGCTGCTGGCCATGGGTCGATGGGGCATGGCGACGTGCGCGATGCTCTCCCTCGCGTTCCTCATGAGGCCCGGCGATTGGAGGACCGCCCGAGTGGAGCACCTGGCGCCGCCCGCCGCTGGAGCCTAGTGCTCCACCCGCTGGAGGACGAGACGAGCCTGCACAGCAAAACGGGTGAGTTCGACGAGTCGTTCTTGCTGGACCTGGACGAAGACCAGTGTCTGGGACCCCTCTGCCAGCGGCTCATCCAGAGCCGCGATCCTCAGGAGCCCCTGTTCGCGTTCAGCCAGGCCGAGTTCGCCCGCTGCTTCAAGAGGGCTGGCGCCCGCCTGATGCTGCAGCGGCCCCCGCCGCCGCGCATTCTGCGGCATTCGGGCGCGAGCCGCGACTTCGCCGAGCAGAGGCGGACGCTCGTCGGCGTCAAGCGCCGAGGGCGATGGCGGACGGACGCGAGCGCAAGGCGGTACGAGAAGGGGGGCCGGCTGGGCAGCGAGTTCGCCAAGCTGCCCGCGCGCCTCCAGACCCACGCGCGGTGGTGCCTCAAGTACCTCCCCGCGGCGCTCTCCGGGTCGCTGCCGCCTCGCGCGCGCCGCGCCCTCTGAGGCTACGGGTGTTTCTGGAGGTCTTTGCTGGCACAGCTCGGCTTGGTCGAGCCATGGCGGTGCAGGGCGTCCACGCGCTGGCACGGGATGCGAAGTGTGGCGAGCAGTGTGATCTCACGAGCCCCTCTAAGCGGCCCCTGATACGCGGATGGATTTTGGGACGTGGGATTCTGGCAGTGCACTTTGGCGTTCCCTGCGCATCGTGGTCTCGGGCTCGTGACGTCCTTCCAGGTCCTCCGCCGTTGAGGTCCAGCGATCGCGCGATGGGGCTCGACGGCCCTTCTGCCAAGGACCTAGCCAAAGTGGACCTCGGAAATTGCGCCATGTCCTTCACTGTCTCCTGCCTTCACGCTTGCCGGAGAATGTGGATTTCAGGCGCGATGGAGAACCCCGCCACGAGTAGGATATGGCCAGCGCCTGCCGTCGTCTCACTCCCCCGCAATCCTGCCTCGCAAATCGTCTCGACCGATTTTTGTCAATTCGGCACGCCCTGGAGAAAGCGGACGAAGTTTTTGGGCGTCCTGATCGATTTAATTTCGATCGAGAAGCTGTGAGCCTCTCTGATAACACAAAAAGTCCCTGGTCTCTGAGGGGTGGGATACATATATGTATTTCTCTCTCTCTCTCTCTCTCCTTCTCTGCCTCCCTCTTCGCTCCTTCTCTCCTGGCGTTTTCCCTTTTCCTTCGTCCCTCCCCCTCCTTTCCTCTTATTCTCCCTCGTTCTCCCCCTCCTCTCTTTGCAGGGCCCACACCAATTCCAATGGCGGGCGCACGTGCGCCCACGAAGGACTGTCCGCCCGTCCAGGTTTGCCCGCCTGTCTAAGCCCGCCGCCCCCCGCAAAGAGAAACAATCCCCATAAAAGGGGGCGTGATCGAAGACAAAAAGGGCGGGTATGGAGGGCGTGGGGAACTCGTTTTGAACAGCACACGGGCAATTAAGAGCGAACGGTCTTAGAATGATGGTTGTTGTTGTCCGGGGGGGCAACGGGTGCAGTTCGAGCTTAGTAACTTTCCCTGATTACAAACAGGGTGCGAGCCCCGCAGGAGCGTTTCAATAGGAAAACACAAGTGTCATCGGAGGGGGATCTACAACAGTTGTTCTTCAGGAGTGAGAGTTCGACAACAACATCAACATCAGCAGCAGCAGCAGCAACAACAGCAGCACCAACAACAATAGCAACAACAACCACCACAACCACAATCACTACAACCACAACACCAACAACAGCAACAACACCAACAGCCACAAGAACAACATCATCAACACCACCAATAACAACAACAACAACAATCATTTTAAGACTGTTCGCCCTTATCTGCTCGAGTGTCGAATAACGCGAATTTCCCAAACCTTCGATACCCGCCCTGTTCGTCTTCGATCGAACCCCTCTTGGGGGGTATACCTTTTCTTACCTGCAGGCCGGGCCCCGGCAACCGGCGGGGCGGCCGCGGACCGTCGGCCTGGCCAGCGGCAGCGCTGATCGGCGGGGCGACCGCGGACCGTCGACCCGACCCCAAGAGGGACGGACAGGGGACCGACCACGACGACGACGACGACGACGACGACGTCGACGACGACGGCAACGACGGCGACGGCGACGACGACGACGAGCGAAAGCGAGAGCGAGAGAGAACGACAGCAGGGCCACGAAGGACACGAAGTAGGCGAAGGGCGACAGCGGGGACACGAAAGGAATGCGTATGGGGCCACGAAGAGCGCGAACGAGCGTGGGCCACGAAGGGCAGATAATGCGGGGCCACAGAAGGCAACGATGGGGCCAATGAGGGTAGCACCTGGGCCACGTAGGACAATGAGGGGGCCACAAACGGCGACAGCAGGGCCACGAAGGGCATGGACATGGGGCTACAACGGGCGCGAACGAGCGGGGGCCACGAAGGGCATACGTAGGTTGGGCCGCGGAGGGTAAGGACGGGGCCACCGAGGCAGCAACGGGGACACGAAGGGCAGCGAGGGGGCCACGAAGGGCGACAGCGGGGCCACGAAGGGCATGCATATGGGGCCACCACGGGCGCGAACGAACGGGGGCCACGAAGGGCGTACATACATGGGGCCACGAAACAAAGCGAGGGGGCCACGAAGGGCTGCAACGGGGCCACGAAACAAAACGAGGGGGCCACGAAGGGCTGCAATGGGGCCACGAAACAAAGCGAGGAGGCCACGAGGGGCTGCAACGGGACCGCGAAACAAAGCGAGGGGGCCACGAAGGGCTGCAACGGGGCCACGAAACAAAGCGAGGGGGCCACGAAGGGCTGCAACGGGGCCACGAAGGGCAGCGATATCCCGATTCTTTGGTAATCTGTGAAGGAGTCCTAAGCGTGAGCGCGACTCCTGGGTGCCTGGGTGTCGGGAGCGCGGCGCTGGAGTAAATTGCAAAACATGCCAACGCAAGGCGCTATTCTTCAGCAGATTGCAAGCAAGTCTCCAGCGAGACGCGACTCCAGAGCGCAGGAAGAGCGATTCCTGAATAAATCGTAAGGAAATCCCTAGCGAGAGCGCGATTCTTGAATACAATGCGAGGAAGTCTCGGGCGGGAGCGGGGGTCCTGGCTACATTGTGAGGAAATCTTAGGCGGGAGCCGTTGTTGTTGTTGTTGTAACCCGGGGGCCAGGGGGGCAGTTTGAGCAGGAATCTTTTCTTTGACAAAAAACAAGGTGCGAGCCCCGGGGGGGCACTTCAATTGAAAAAATCAATGTGCACTGGTGATGGGGGGATCAACAATAATTATTCTTCAAGAATGAGAGTTCAACAACAACAACAACAACAACAACAACAACAACGACGACGACGACGACGACGACGACGACGACGACAACGACAACACCAACGACAACGAACACCACGGTAACTACGACAACGACAACAACAGCAATCCGAATTTTAAGACTATTCGCTCGTATCTGTTCGTTGGCCACCCAACACCTAGATCCCAAGCCCTCGACACCCACCCTCCAGCTTCGATCGTGCTCCTCTGGGCGTATATATTTATCTTACCTGCTACGTGTATTTCATGCAGCCCCTAAGGCACGGGAAGGCAGGACGTATGGAAGGAAAGGGCAAGGGTAAGGGAGGAGGATGGAGCACGAAAGAGAGTAGCAGGAGAGGGGGTTAGGAGCAGAACGCACGTGGCACAACCAGACGGGCAGGTCGGGCGAGCAGACCCTAACAGGCGGGTCGGGAAGGCGGGCCCAGGCGGGCCAGGTCGAGCAGGCGGGTTGCTGAAGCGTGCGTCCTGTATAGATCGCGAAGAAGTCTCAAGCGAGAGTGCGACTCCCAAACCCACCGTCCAGAAATCCATAGCGAGATCGTGAGTCCTGAGAGTCCAGCGCGCGGCATCTGAATACATGGCGAGGAAGTCCCACGCGAGAGCACGACTCCTATATAAATTGTGAGGACGTCCCGCGCGAGAGCGCGATTTGGGAACACATTGTGAGGAAGTGTCAGGCTGCTGTTGTAAACCGGGGGCCAACAACTCAATTCTGAGACCCAGGGCTTTCCATTGCAAGAAGGATGGTGCGAACCCCATGACATTTCATTGAAAACGCACAATATTCCACGGGTGGGGATCAACAACGATTACTCTTCAGCAGATAGAGTTCAACAACATCAACATCAACAACAAGTGAATCATCACCATCGTCAGCAACAGCAGCAACCACAACCACAGCCACAGCCACAGCCACAACAGCAGCAGCAACAGCAACAACGACAACAACAACAACAACAACACACCACCACCACCACCACCACCACCACCACTTACAACAACAACACCAACAATAAACAACCAAGGAGACACCACAGACGAAGCAGAGACGCTTGCTCGACGTCTACTCGGCTTTAGGAGGCCGCGTCACGGCCCCAGGGCCGTTTGACGGTTCCAGGGGAAGGGGTCGAGATTCCCAGAGATTGCAGGCGTCGGAGGAGGGGGGACTTGCGCACCTTCGCGCATGCCTCCAGCGCTTCTTCGGGGCCAAAGACGCCCCCCAACGCCCCTAAGCGGCGCGGAGTGGAGGAGCGAGGAGCTAAGAGGAGGAGCGAAACAGGACCGTGAGGATGAGGAGGAGGATGAGGAGGAGAACGAGGAGGAGGAAGAAGAGGAGGAGGAGGAGTCAGAAGGAGGAGAGCAAAGGGGGGCAGGAGGAGGAGGAGGAGGAGGAGGAAGCTTGGTTTTCAGGACGGCAAGCACTGGACATGGCTATGGGATGCAACCTTTGGCCGAGCGTCAGGCATACCCTCTGGTTGCGCACAAGAGTGTTGTGGTCATGGCCCGTCGCTCCCCCGTTGGCCTTGGGTCCATCCCCAGACAGGGGGACGTGCCACCAGTGGCACTACCAGCACAGGCAACGCTGACAGAAGTAAAGTGGGGAGGAGAACAAATAGGAGGATGAGGAAGGGAAGGAGGGTGTGTGAGGAGAACCTTGCAATGCCTTTTCGCTGCTTGGGGATTCGGATCCTGCCGCTTCGGTGTCTCGCCTCGCCGGCGCGGAGGCGCTCCATGTCTAGTTTCGCGATTCTGGATTCCACATTCTGGGTTATCCAGAAAGCCCGCATTACCGAGGGCACACGCGCGGATGGAGGCTTCTTCATGATGGTGGGGGGTAGTGATAAGAGTAATCTCGGGTGCGAGTTCTGGCTCGACACCGATAGGCCCTACGCGAGGGTAGGTCTCAAAGAGTTGTTCCTCCGTCGCTCTCACCTCCTAGTCCTCAACAAGTCCCCTCCCTTGCTGGTGGTCCGCCTCTCCGCCTCCTACCTCCATGCCACCTGCATGGTGGCTCACGCCCCCCACTCTGACCACCACCTCGACTTCTTTCAGAGTTGGTGGAGGGAGGCCTCTGCCGCGGCGGACATCTTCGGCATCACTTGCTTCCTTGACGCCCACCCCATTCTCAGGTTCGTGCGGCTTCGCGCAAACAATCGATCGAGGAGGTAACGAGTTTCTGGAGGTCCTGCATTCAAATCACCTCTTTGCCTCCACCACGGCTTCACCCCCTCTGGGGCCTCCAACGCTTGTGTTTCCACCACGGGGTAGAGGCATAGTATCGATGCTGTAGCGCTTATTTAGCCATGGGAGATGCACTGCACCGATTGGTCCGAAGCCACGCGGTCATCGAGGACCTGGATAGACAACGCGATTGCCATGAGTACCTCCTGGTGTGGGTCGATCTCTAATGGCTCGTCCTTCCTCATTCCTCCCACCAGCCACATCCTCTCGGAGTGGTTTCAAGGACCCCGCAGCGGTGCAGGGCTCCGGCAAGGTCTTCTGGACTGACTTGTCATTGCCAGATTGGTCCGTAGATGCACATGCGCATGGTTCGGCGCTGCGTGATGTGATTTGGGTTCTTGCGTTTCGGTTCTTCCCACCCAAGCCCCCACTATTC